TACATCAGAATTAAAATATTTATTAATTTGGACGAATTAGTGCACATTATTGATTTCATGTTGTATAATACAATGTGTTATTTACAAAATAATATACATAAATTTTAAAAATTTTTTGTACAATGTGGTTGTTATAAGTATATTAACATGATAAAAGTGACCTTTTTTTTGTTTTCAACATGAATTGTATCTAAAATTCATACATGTGCTTATTTATATTACTTTATTCTTATAAAGCATAATAATTTTGGATTAAATTTTTGGGAAAGTAAAAAACAGGGAGAGTTTTTACAATAACGTCAATGTTTATTACATAATAACCCATTTATTATTTTCTGGTACAATATTTTTGTAAGAAAACTCAAAACTTGATTGGGTTAGAATTGTTTGGAATGAAAAAATTTGCATCATTAAGATGCATTAAATCATTTGTAGAATTTTCAGTAACAGCAAGTTTCCACTCAAAGAGTTTCATAGGGCTGTATACTTCATAAATTCTGTCATCATTTAATGCATCTTGTTTGCTAATCTTTAACGGACCACAAATAAGTTGGGAGATGGTACATATTTTATGGATTACATGATGACAGTTCTGTAGTCATACTAAGAAGCTGTGATAGATTTTAGATTCATGTTCATATATGTGGCTAGTTAAAGAAAAGAAAATAACAATCAGTAATCTAAGTCTATATACTACAAAGTGTTATTAGTATCATTGTAAAATAGTTAGTGTCAAAAAATATGATTAATAAATTTAATAAAAATATGTAAACATAACTGTGGTTGATAGATAAATGGATTATTTGATAAGACCCTTAGCTTTAAACAAGTCTCTCATCAAACCCTTTAAGTACCCAATTTCTCGCTGCAAATCCATTACTTGATTTTTTAACTTTTCATTATGGTCAGTAAGTTCACGTTCTTCACCTATTATTTCTTTTATTTCTTGTTTTTTCTTTTGTCTGTATCGAGTTGCCGCGTTTTTATTTTGTTCTTTCTTTCGAACTTTTTTATCTTCGATAATTGGCCGGGAATACGGTTTTTGACGATTCTTCGATGAAACACATGTAGATTGTTTCGTGTTTTTTTTCCCAGATTCTAAGATCCAATCTGGATCATCGACAGAATCTTCTGACGAAGTGTAACTTCCACCAGAGCTGGTACAAGGACTAGATGGTGGAATATCTTCTGTATATAAAGGTACATATTCATCCCACAGAGCTAAGTCATGTGTAACATCTGTGTTTAATGGATCCAATGGTATATTTTTTGTATTCCATTGTACAGGTACTTCATTTACATATGATTTTTCCTCTGGAATTACCACATCATATATAGATTGATGATTGGAATATAATGGTTGCACAGGTTGTAATGTAACAAGTAATTGGGTATCCACATTTAATGGTTTATGTGGTGGAGGTGACTGAGGAGGTGTAAGTGTGGAACTTGATGAAGGGACTATTTGATGACATGCTTCCACATCTCCCAGAGCAGTAGTTACTAACTCTTGTAACAGAGTTTGTGCATCATCTTGTTGAGAAGCTTTCACAATTTCATTGTATGATGTTGGTTTAATCTGTCCATTTTCAGGAACTGGTAGCTCTTCAAAAATAGGGAGTTCTATTTTTTCCTCCAACCAATCTGAAAAAGGCTCTGCAAACAAGGAAATAATTTCATCAAATATAAATAGGAATCATTGTTTTGTGATTAATTTATATGGGATATATTGATACAAAAATAAAAATAGATAAAGATAGATGTTTGTTTCTATGTATCATTTTAAGATTTTAAGAAAAGAAATTTTATATCATTCAAAGTACTGATAGCATATCAGATTTTGATAAATAACAGCATTTTGATATATTTATTAGCAAACATTTAGAACTCCTTTTTTAAAATGTTATTAAAAAGTATAATACCTAAAAGTAAAGTTTAAAAAAACAATACTCTGAGTAGTTTGTTAACATAGAAGTTAACAGTACTTTTACTTATGTCTTGCATGAAGAATAAGTAGGAGTGGTACCACTGATGTATATATAATTTCATGGACGTTACTAGTTTAACTAGAAAAACAAGTTCTTGATTTGCAATTTCTTTGGCTTCTAATACATTTACTGCAACTAATAGTAGTATAGTCAGTTATTTAGAGCAGAATTTGATATTGAAGATACAAGTTATTTTGAAATAACACCTGAAGTCTCGTTTTCTTTAAAAAATAAATCAAAAGAAAAAAAATGCTGATTTATATTTATAAATTAAATTTATAAACGAAGAAACGAACATGAAATTTTTAATGTACAATCAGAGCCCATTTCTTTTGTTTATCTTACTTTAATTATAAAAAATTTTATATAGATTCTATATAATTGAAACGGCATTGTTTAAAAAAACCTAAGACAAGTTTCTATGTTTTATACTGAATAAATTAGCCCTAACCTATTTCTTGACGAAACTTTGATCAGAGACCAACTTGAAATGTATAAGTTATCTTCATTTAAATACAGGGGGCATAGGGTTAGATAAGAATATTTTTTTAATTATAAGGAGCTCTACAAGTACATAGTACGATTTTGCCATAAAAAATCAAAAAGTAATTTGTTTAGAAATAATTTAAAACGATAGGATCGATTTTTTGTTCTTGTTTACAGCTGCACAAATTATAGTTGACCTTTACAGAGCCATAGAAAAATATGAAATGGCTTAAAAATTATTTGGTGCATTTCGTGACTGTTATGTACCAAACATTAATTTAAATATTTTTTAATCAAAAAGTTTTTTTTCTAATTAAAAAAACTATAATAAACATGATTAAAAACTGATCTATATTTGCACGCCGACGATTAATTCATAGAACGTGCAATCTCAAAAATGGCAATTTGTTAAAAATTTAACATAATTTCTCTATAACTATTTTTATAGACGATTCGATCCAATTCTGTTGTTCGATAAATACGAACAATGTGGCAACAGTGCTCTGATATGCGTAATAAAGATATTTTTCCATCGAAGCGAATGCTAGAAAGAGAGAGGAGATGAAATGAGCGAAAGGAAACGTACCGCTGTAACATATAGCAGCCATTATCACGTGCGCCTGTTTTCGCGTGAACCCTTATTAAAAAAAAGGAGAAAGGGGAGTATACATGTATGTTATAGCTGAATAAAGTTAAAAAAAAAAAAAAGAAACTGTTTTTAATGTATGGTGTGTAGTATTTTTTGTCAACGTGAAGCAGCCAAGTCCACCCACGGGGACGCGAATCGTTTTGATTCAACGTCTCTTTACAAGTTTCTGGGAATTGACAATGATCTCTCGGTTCCACGTGTAGCGATATGCGAACTGCATGCTATCATACAACATTAGCACGTTCCAGCATCGAGACGCTATGCCTTTTTCTTCGTTCACTTTTAAAGATGCCGCCAGTATTGTTAAAATTCTGATCTATACACGAATGCTTTTAACCACGCGTGTGCCGTTATAGTTCGTTTGGCTGTATTTCTTGCGCTTAATTCGAATTATACGATGACAGACATAACGCACTTCACCAATCACTTTTCATCGATTGTCGATCGGTTTAAAGATCACCGTTCACTATTGCTTCTATTCCTCGGTAACAATTTGAAATATTATTTTTAGCAACACAGTTTTCGAGTCCCACTACCAGTCCAAACAAATATTGAGAACACGTGCAACAGGCTAACGTATGTTACGAAAAAACTACGTTTCGAAAGGAATCTCGTGATTACTTATAAATAAATAATGTTTTTGATATGTATTTCATTAAAGTAACTATACAGTACAGTATGTGATTCACGATAAAGAGTTAAACATCCCAACTTCCCCCGTTGTTAAGATCACTGACACCGTAGTTAACACACACGCAAGATACGACGAACGTGACAGATTTTACCGTCACAAGAGACAAAATTTTATCACTTGTATAACGTAACGGAATCGGTCGAAATGTTTGAAAATTTAAAACAATAACAAAGTGTATCAGGTACGCAGAACGATTAAGAATTATTAATGGAAAGCTGACTTGTAACGAAGACTAATCGACGGAATCGAGCGATCAGTTTGCAATACTGCGAGAGACCACTCCTGCTTATCTTTGGACTTTCCCCTCTGGCGCCCCTACTCCAACGCCGTTAAACACACGTCATTCCCCTATCGGCCTTCAACCAAAGCCGTTTGTATAGAGGTTAACCAGTTTGTCCCACTCTCCTTTCCATAAAAAAAGAAAGGAAAATGAGATACATAGTGGAGGAAGTGAGAAGAATAAAAGCGATAGGAATATATGTATCGAGAATGCAGTCCGGCAAAACACTGATGTTAGTTTCTATCCTTCTAATACACAGAGCTTTGAAAACTAGAGGACGCTAGTTTAATAGATGCATACACATGTGAACTAACGCATTGTAAATGAACATTTACGAACGCCCACTCTTATGCACCATTTGATATTTAAAGATATATTACGATGTATAACGTGTTCTTTTTAAACGGTACGTGTTACAACAGTAACTTTAGACCTGTACCAGTACTTATTCTCTAAGCAATTCAAGCAAAACGAAATCTAGAATAAAATTGAGGGAGCATGCGTTTGTTCCTTAAGTTCAACATATAGGTCTGCACATTTTTTACACTTGCAAAATACATACAGTTTGTGTAAATAATTTTACACGTATTAAAATGCAAATTATAGTAGTTTCATTGAATTACATTACTATGCTGTCTCGGTAATTAAATTCAAAATATATTATTATATTGAAGCTTGGAACATATACAAAATTTAAATGAAAACGAATTACAAAAATAAAATATAAAGTGCAATCATTAGAATAAAATGAGTCTTCATACTTTTTTTATACTTCAAGAATTTTTACTTAAATGTTTGTGTACAGACTTTTGTTTTAAAAGATTATTCTGTAGTTCATACAGAAATTTCATATAAACACTTACCTTCTTTAATCCATTCATCTAATTCTTCCAATAATTTTGTAGCCACTTGAGCACGAGTAGGATTATCTTCATATAGAACATGTTCTATATCCTTTTTAGTAGGATCTACAGATGATTTATCATCAAATAAGAGCCAATCATCTTCAATTTCATTCGACAGTGTCCCATTAGGGGACACTGGTTCGAACTTCCATGACAACATCTCCTGGTCCTGATTGGATAACATTATTGATGCAATCCCAATCAAGGTGTATTAAAAAATGATGAAAAGAAATTTGTGTCGTCTGTGCGACGTAGCTCGAAGTGAGCGCCATATTGGCTCTGAAAATAGTAAATATACAAATTAGGCACACAATATAAATAAATGTATATTGTATAGACAGAATACATATATATTCTTGTATATACGTGTGTACATGTAATTAAATTATCTAGCCTTAAACAAGAGTAGTTTACTGTTTGCTAAATACTTTAAGAGAACTACATAAAAAATAATTAATCAGTTGAAATTTGAATTGCAGATGAAACAAAAAGGAATGTTGAAAAGAAAAAGAAATTAATTATTTATACGCATTCATGAATTTGAGAGATTGTGAATCAAGTAGTTTGTTCAAATTTTTGCGAGGATATTAAATATATGTATTTACACAATTTATTAGTTGCAAACTGAAAAGTAAGTCGTAATTGTTGAATAGAATCATGAAACATGCGAAAAATGACAAACTATTGTTATGACGCAACATTGAATCGCATCATCTGGACAAAGTTTTCGATTGTACCTCAATATTTGATATGCACCGCAAATTGATTTTGAAGAGTGATATATAATTTTAATATCGTAGCATAGAATAGGAAGGATTACGTTATTTGGCGAAATCACTGTTCGCGTAGTAGCATTTCGTTATTGCAATACCATTCACAAAATGGCAGACAACGTACGATAGCTTGGCGTCAAATACAAATATAAAGATTGCTTTCACGATAGCAAATATTACTTACTTCATGATTAGTTAGTTGTGTCGGCACACTTGCGTGTGCAAATTGCTTCGTGAACTACTGATTCATCTTGCCCGTGAAGCGAAACGTTTAGAAAATATGAACGTCTTTACTACTCGATGCATGGATGGAGAATGAGCGTCTCCTTTGGGGAATTTGACCGCTGAGGTCACGTGATTCGGGTATGCGTACGCAAGGGTGCTCAGTTTGAACCGCTTTCATGGATTTTCTGCGCATGTTATATCACCACGAATTCCCTTTACATTCTACTTTCTACAATGTTTCACTAGGATCACTGTTTTTATTTGCCAGTATTATGATTTAATACTCTATTTTATGCGGGTATAACGATCATTTCTCTTTAGAAAACTTCCATTTATCTTATTGTTACACGGTTACGCTGTCGAACATATGGCGGGAAGAAGTAACGAAACAGATGAAAAATAAACAATATCAAATGTAAATGAAAAACTTTTATATTAAACGCAATCAACGGTACATTACAATTTAAACATTCTGCTTCTACTATAAATGAAGCGTTCGTGTTTTACGAAATTTATAATTCGCGGGAAATCGTAACGATTCATATAACGCGCGTTATCTGTCAATATTACAATGTTTACGAAATATTCTTTTTATACTCGTTACTTCGTAATCGCTAAACTGTATTACTTAATAAAGCTTACATTCGCTGCGTACAATCACCGCGTTTTGATTTTAAAAATTGTTAGTCGAGATACGATCGAAGACGTTCTTAAGGAAAATATTACAGTGAGTAATACTTCGTAATACTCGAATGTGTATATCGACGAAAAACATTTGTCTTATAACGAAAAAATCTCTATTACGAAATTACCACTTTCGAAAGTCGCACACTCATTGGCGGACATTTTCAAAATACGCGCGCGGAAATTTCAGTTCTCGACTTTGGATTCATCGTTTCACATAGCAATCGATCGATTGATAAACGGTGATTTATTTACAAAAAAAAAAAAAAACAAAAGATATCAATACATTTTCTTACACGATATATCTTACATGAAGAAAGAAAAACTAACATCGTTCGCTCGCGAACCCCCCTGAAATATCATCTCATTCTATCCTCCGAGTCGACGATCGTAAAATAAGCAATAAACTTTATTAATTCGATTAACAATAGTGTAAAGAACAGAATAGGAACATATTGACCATCGCCTAAGCGTTCCTCTTCTGGTTGAAGTAGTCCTGCCTGAACCCTTTGTTCATAATCCATCCGACCTTCGTTCTTATCTGCACCGGTGGTATCAGCGTGAAGATCTTCTGGATCCCGTGGCCCCAGTAGCCAGTACCCGAATCCATTTTTCCCAGTGTGGTGATAGCATTTTTGGCATAAGTCACCGCGGTAGGGACAAAAATACTGGACACCTGTGTGATCGGTTAATCATTCTCATCTCATCGTGTAGAAAAAAAATCGATCGAGATCTAATCGGGTTTCCTCTTTACCTGTAAACGATTGCTGAACGCGTTCATCTTCGTGCTGACGAAGAACGGTGTTAAATGCTGTACGGTCAACCCGAATCTGGAATATTCAGCTCTGAGAGCCTCGGAGAAGCTTCTAATGTAAACTTTCGTGGCCGCGTACACGGTCATCAGCGGTAACGGTTGCAATTCAGAGCCGGACGAGACGTTCACGATGGCACCTTTTCCGCGTTTCTGCATCTGACCGATTATCGTCCGTGTCATCATCGTCGTGGCGCCCACGTTCACGTTTATGATGTCCCATAGCTCGTGTTCCGGCACCTCGCCGAGATACATCGGATAGCTATACTGCATGCCTACGTTGTTCACTGGAACAACGTGTTTATGCCGCTATTAAAATGATCGATACGATGAAAAATCGTATAAATGAATAAGAAAACGAAACAGACGGCTCTACTTGTTGCGTTAATGATATCCGATCGATAAGGATCGTCGATTCATTAGAAACGACGGACGTGTATGTATGAATCGTAATGACTCAATTACCTAAGATACCAATTGGAATCTCGTTCAGCTGTTCAGCGAGTTTCTCGAAGATCTCTTTACCCTTGCTGAAATCCGCCACGATGATCTTCACCTCGACCGTCGGATTCTCGTCGAGGATCTCGCTCCTGGTCTTCTCTAATTTCTCCAACGTTCGACTGATCAACACCAGGTTTATCCCCCTCGCGGCCAACTCTTTCGCGTAAGCTTTCCCAATTCCATCGGTGGACCCGGTGACGACTGAAAAAAAAATTTCAAAGGTTTCCTTCTTTTTTTCTTTTAAACGAGATCGTTTTGTCGAATATCGAGCGTGTGTACACGACGTTTACCAGCCCATTCGCCGAATTTCGTACGCAGATCGACCGGTTTCGAGTCGATGATAGGCACGAGGATCTCCCACAGGACACTGGCGACTTTGCTGATATAATTCAGGAGCAGCCAGAAGAACAGCAAGCCGACCAGAAGCCATAGAGCTATTTGCAGCATCATTTTCCTCTAAGAGAACAGGATTCGTGTATATTTTATGAGAACGAGATGAATCACGCCAGTCGGTCGCGTTTCGAAACGAACTGATACGGACGAGAGAGAATCGTGAACGAAATCAACGTTGCACGCACTTCGTTCTTGAAATGTTGCTCGGTTTACTTTGTTATCTGGACAAAATGCACGCGTACGATCGTGTGTGCGACTGATTCTCGTTACACAGACTGAGAAATCTTGCGATAACTATCCGTTTCACGAATAATCTTTGTTGTTCTTATATACTTTGTCGCGTTTCTCTACACGAAGAGATGACCCGGCTTCGAAACTAATCGACGTTCGACGGCGACGCTTATCGATCGGGAAACCGACCGAAAATTGATCCACGAGAGTATGACAAGCACGATTCTCAATTACATTATATATATATAAACCGTCCATATGTCGAATTGTTCCCTCTCTTTACTCGCGTATTTTCCCCCGGGAAAAAAGGTGGCAGAAAAAATACGCGCTGCGTTACCTAAAATTCTCGTCAAATTTTTCCAGATATCTATCACGAGTACGACACCACGAACATTTGAGGTTCCTCACGATTGTATCATCGCTTATGTCGCAATCGCGTATTTTTCGCCGTCTACTTTTTCCTCAATTTTCCCACGATTTTTCCTCGATCGTTTGTTATTCACCGGGTCCGCCTTTCGAAAAATACGACGATGGTCGGTGAACGAAGCTCAAAGCAAGACTAAAGTTGCCCGCGGCAGGTGGACGGTACAAATGGCGTGCGGAAGGCACTTTCTCTGGCTGGATTATAGACGGTTTCCTTCGCTAGCCAACGAGAGAGCACGGATTCAGACGGAGGGCCTTCATACGCGAGTTGCATGCAAAACGACCAAATTGTCTCTGTCCTGGCCTTTTCTGCTTACCTCTTCCAACGTCGATTCACGTTCCAACGACCAACACCTACACACTGATTCATCCTATCCTCTCTCCCGAATCTCTTCAATTGTTCAATTGCCCCGATGTTCACATTTTCGATACGCACCGCTAGCGAAGATCCACCGAGTCCAGTCGATCGATAAGAATTGCTGGCTTTTGGTACCTTCCAACCTGTATCACGTTCCTTACTTTCCATCGAATCAGCAATTAACACGCCGACTCTTCCGAAATCCTCGGCAAATCAAACGATAGGAAAGAAAAGAAAAAGGCTCGTCCGCGGATATGAACACGTGGATGATCCAGCTCGCCGTAGATCTTCGCTCGTGCGCCGAATTAGAACGCATACCAGGATGTTCATCGCGGAATGGAAGTAAGATAACACGGTGGAGACAGGCTAGAAGTGTGGTGTACGTGGGTCTGTTGCTCTCGGCAGACGAATTCACCGGCGTTCGAATTTTTCATAGTGCTCGAAGTGGAATGGATGATTCGTCGGTGATACTTGGAGCAGGTGAAGAAAGAGGAGATCCCAGGCTTGTCGGGGTTTGCCGAAGAAACGAGGATGACAGGCATGCGCGCGCAGCTTCTTTCACTTCTACAAACTAGCAACGAAGTTCCATCCTTATGTCAGAAGGTCTCACGAAGGCAAGGCAATAGTAGTTCGTCGATCGTAGCCGCGTGTCCTCATCCTCGAGTTCTCCTCGCATCTCCTTTAAGGACGTTGATATATATCTCTCCTTCGTCTGCACTCTCACGTGAAATTGAACGGAAAAAAAGAAAAGGAAACGAGGTCGTTCTCTGAGAAACCGGACGTTTATCCGTGACATTCTTTCCGAGGAGGACCTTTCGGGAATTTTTTTCGGGGGCCATCGAAGCGTTCGATAACGCGCTCCAGAACGGTTTGCGGCCCAGAAGAGCATGCCACGTTGTTTTTCCACATCGTCTGCCACTGTGTCGGTCAGGTAACAGGTGAGTTTCTCTCATCTTCTCCAAGATTTATGTCGATAACGCGTGATTCAGCGAAATCTACTCGGTGACCGGTGTGTTGTGTCGAATTTGACATTTTCTCGAGATAGAGAAGTTACTTGGGATTCTTTTCTGTTCGTCGCGTTCTTTGTTGATGGTCAGAGGAGGGATAGGGAATGGTGAGGAACGAATTCTTATGGAATTGCGTAATCTCATTGAGATTCGATTGGCGATGTTGTTGGCTATTCGGTTGTACAGTGGATCGTTGATGTAATGAATTCTTCAACACCTATTATTCCATTGTAGAAATGCTCCTTTCCATATACAGGACATTCGATTCGACGATTTATCGTAGTGTTCGTTAATCATTTATCGGAGTTTTAGACAAGGTCACTCGTCGAGGTTTATCGACGGGGAAGCATAACCGGGTGTTTTTTTCTGAATCTTTTTATCGACGTTTTATCGCAGGAATTTTTGCGGACGTCTGATAGCATTCCCAGAAGACGAAGTGTCGACGTTAACTATTAGTCGGTTATAACGGATAGTGTAATTTCGAAGCTATAAATATCTGTGTGCCTGGACGGTGGATGCTTCGGGCGGTATTTGGAGCAGAAATCGCGAGGTTTTTGTCGGCGAATTCTCAATCTCGTTACCTAGGTAGGTTATTTCGCGTTGGAACGAAAACGGGAATGGCAAAGTTGCGATTTTCACCGTTGCAAAATTATCGGAATAGATTATATATTCAACGGTTCTCCAGTATTTTCATCTCGTAAACACAAAGTTCTTTATTTCGCATAAATATCTTGTTGACGTAACAAACGAAACCGATACTGTTATCTGTTTTACACTTCTTGTCGAGCTGCGTTTCGGACGTTAACAGGAACTTTTTCTCTTACAAAATCGAGAGCCACGTTGCGCGTTTCCCAAGGTAAACACATTAGGTTATGAAATTTGAAAACCAGTTCTTTTTTGCGCGAGTAGTATCGTCATTCTTCCTTAGAAATCGTACGATTGTTCTTCTTCTTCGGCTAGGAAGAAGGAAAAATATCGTTTGACCCGAAATTGTACGGGGGGAATTGGACGCAGTTCACTTCTGGGTGCTTATCGAGGGAAAAGTGTGTGCTCCAGATATCTAGATGTCAAACGTACCGTACATCGTCCATTCAGAAACCGGCTTTGAAGGATTTCAAATGGAACAGAACGCGAAACGGAGACGCTCGACCTGATTATCATATCGAGACCGTTCCACGCTCCTTCGGCTGGGTTAACTTACTTCCTATTTTCCTTTCGAAATTAACCAAGTAAGCTCGCGGTTCTGTCACGCGACAGTCGATTCGTGACAGTGGTGACGGGCTGTTGGAACCCGGCGAATTGACATCAGTGACGTTTAATTGGGAGCCTACTGGGTTCGCTGAGATGTGTCTCGCGTGATTCGAATCTGTGGCGATGTTTTCTTGTCCAATTTCGGATGGGAAAAGACGATTTATTTAGGAGATAAACAACTGAAAGCATTGGGAGATACACCGGAAAATTGTGCAAAGGGGGATTTTCAGTTTGAATTTTTCGTGGAAATTTTTCGGTTTTGGGGAAGGTGTCCTCTTTGCGTTGCAGGTGGATTTCTTATTTATTTAGCAAATAAGTGGAATTAAATATGAAAAATATCAGATGAAAATCATTTGAAAATACAAAGAGAAATGATTAATTCTATATTTCGGTATATCTATCCAAAGGAATCCTTTCCTTAGTGTATTCCTTATTTATCTAGCAAATAACTGATCAAAACCGTTTGAAAATACAAAGAAAAATTTAAAATTCGAATTTTGGTGTATTTGTTCCAAAGAAGAATTCTTATTTATCTGTCAAATAAACGATCCAAACCATGTTCGATGCGAATGTTTTTCTTTACTCGAAGGTATCCTTTTCGCGTTACAGGGTCATTTTACCGGACAGAAAGGCTCGGTGAATAACCATTCGACCGTAAGATAAATCAATGTCCAGGGTGGACGGGAAGGACGATGACAGGATGCCGTGTTTGGGGAACAGTACTGCTTCTCCTTAGTATTTCAAGTTCAGCGGTGAACGCGGGCACAGCTGGAGAGCGTGTCTCGGTGAACGACGAGAGGAGGAGGTCCTTCGATACGGAGGAGATCATGTACTCTTGGACAGGGCCGAACGCGTTGGCGAGGTCAGCTTTGGTCGAGCGCCAGGAGAGATTGCAGTATAATTGCGAGGAGATTGTGGGGGACAGAGGGGCTCGGAACGAGGATCTGAACCCGAAATCCTTCAGGAATATCCTTGTCGACGAGCAACACGAGCTGCTTTATTGTTACGTTCCCAAGGTACGGATACT